CAGGCTCTTGAACCTCTGAGGCAGGCTCTTGAACCTCTGAGGCAGGCTCTTGAACCTCGGAGGCAGGCTCTTGAACCTCGGAGGCAGGCTCTTGAACCTCGGAGGCAGGCTCTTGAACCTCGGAGGCAGGCTCTTGAACCTCTGAGGCAGGCTCTTGGAATTCCGAAACATGATTGTCAGGTTGCCCATTTTCCAAAACTTGTTTTATTTGTTCAGGAATTTCAGAAACTTGTTTAGTAGGCTCAGGCTCTTGTGAAACTGAGTTAACAGGTTCTACATCACCAGAGGCTGCACTTTCATCTGCCAAATCACTGGAATCAGGATTTTTCTCCTGAACAGCACTCCCTTCTGCAAAGAACACAGCATTAGGGGAGAGAAATCAAACAACAAAAGTCAATTTTAAGTTTAAATCACAGCGATGTTAGAATTCAACTACCCTACAAAATGTATTTCAAAACATTAATTCATACATTCGTATTACGGTATGTTGGAAAATTCATCAATATATAATCAGTCAAAATCACAAGGAAAGAACACAAGTTATTCTGGTACACTACAAAATAAAAATCTTTCGTATAATGAACAGTTTTGATCTTGTGCAATATGTTGATGGTAATGACACTATAGCAGGAAAGAAAATTATTTTCTGTAACTGTGCCTATGTAAGTTTGACAGAAGCAAGCCTCAAGAGTTAGTATTGCCTACATGTCAGCTTGTAATGTCTTGAAATTCCAGCAATTCCTAGAACAAATTTTCAAAACAAATTTTCTGAAATTTGCCTATGAAAAAAAAGACAGGACAGGACAACAAACTATAACACTGACCACTGACAACAAGTATAGATAAACTCTTAGACAGTGAAGCTAGCAAATAGTGTTCTTGTTACTGCATTGGCTTGTGCCAGGAAATCATTGCTGTTCATTTGTATACAAAAGGATTGAACATCAAGCTTTTGCACATAACTGAAGAAAATTAATTGCTCAAGCCAGAAATTGTGTGTTGGCGAGCATGAGCTAGGACCGTAATCTGAACACAAAACACAAGTGTATAGTGGGTCAGTTACAAGATCTTCAAGTTATTCTGTTACATATTTAATCTGGGCCATGAACATATCTGCAGCCAATCCTGAACACTGAACAAAGGAATCAACAAACAGTTTGTGACATCTTCAGTCTTGTGGGCATGTGTATAATATTACATAAAAATGATCCAATTCACATCCTGAAGGTTTGATAACTTACCAGTAGTTGATAAACTTATTGTACAACAGATGGTAATGTTACACATATGTATATATAGATAACAAGTATCATTGTTCATAAAAGGTTATAAATGGCAAGTGAATTTCTGGCTTGCACCAAGAGTAAAGTATGAATGCTCAATTGACAATCATTATGTATACCAATAGGCAAAAAATATTGCTTCACAGCTGCTAAATATAAATGAGAATTGTGTGCAATCAATAGTAAACTTCAAGCATTATAAAGTGCTGGTTTTTACACAAAACCTTGGTGAACACCAAACACATACAGCCTACCAGCAGATAATTCTATACAATAGCTACAACACAGTGTAGACAAGATGGCATCCTACCTGACTGGACTGGGGCCACTTCTGGTTGTTCCATGTTAGCGGTTGGTTTGTTATTGCTTGGTTGTTGGTTTTCAGATGAATCGTCCCATCCAAATGCAATGTTAGATCTGCCACCGGGTGGATTTATTACTCTAAGTAATTGAAAAAAAAAAGCAACTTTAGCGTCAAGTATATACATGTACAAGAACAACCTAGAGCCTGAGAGAGTGAACAAAGGAGTGGGGGTGTGTAGCAATGACAAGCAATTCAATGGCTGCTGCATGGGTGTGAACACCACCAGCAAAATTACCATACATGCAAAACAATTTTGTTGAATAGGATTTAATGCTAGAGTATGGCTAAGTATTAAAGTCTTGAGAAAATATTACACTGTCCACACAAGAAAACAAATTGACATCATGAAAATAATACGACTACATGGAACAGTTTGACTATTGAAAGAATACTGACCAGGCAGTGGTCTCCAATCATCTAGTGTATTAAACCATTGTATTGAGATGTTTTGAGGTAGGTGTGCTACACTTTGTTTAAAGAAAGGGATATGGCATGAATCTATAAGTGAACTTAACATGTATTGTAAAGGTCAGGACAAAAATAGAATTAGTTTTATTAAATTTTAAATAAATTTGCAGTAGCACATGTTATTCTCTATAATATTAGAGTTTTGATAGAAACACTGGATAGCATCACCAGTTCAAGTAATGGCAAAATGAATGAATTGGGGCTAGTATTGTTTGCCATTGTTGATCAGTTTAAATTGTTAGCAGCTAAAGTGATGGGTTCATTGCACTAAGTGACACATCTTAGTTCATCATTTTCGTTTCAGTCGTTTTTGCTTCAGTATGAAGCAATTGCATACAATCTAAATTTGGCCTTATCACCCCTACCCCAATTCAGTTTTATTGCTGGAGCAACACTTCGTCGTAGATCAAATATGTAGTTGAGTAATTTATATTACTGTGTATGACTAATGATGGCTGGTTAAATTGGGCAAATTCTATGAATCTTCCGAAGGTCATGAAATGGCTGAATATGCATGTATATAGATTGTGAGCTTATTAATGTAAGGAGATTGCAAATTTGTAATGTATACATCTCCGAATATTGGAAATCCAGTTATTTATTGCGACAGCTGTATAGTGTACATTCTTTTATGTACAACTCGCTTGTACAGTTTTGAGTTGTTGCATAGCACTTTTTCAATGTTCTTCTATATTTAGGGTTTGGGAACTACTCGGACTCTTTACTTCAAGTAACTAATTGTGGGAGCGACAAAGTAGATCGAAAACACATTTATCAACATATCTAAATTTTGCATGATGCATTTGGTTTTGTTTTAACAATCTATCATATCGACATTAATCTACACAAGCAGCATGAGTGACTGACTAAAGACAATAGATTTAATTCGTATACTAATTGAAGCATTCCACTTTAATACAAAGCATCTTGAATAAATTAGTTGTGCAATAACATTGTTAGCAATCAATTGATGAAATTGCTAATTTTTGTCTGTCCTGTATTTTCACAAAATAACATTCCTCATAGATCAGATATGTTATATTGTATGACCACCCTGGAATTAGTTGTCATTCCGCTACCAAACACTTATTTATGGAAATTAATTTTAAACTAACTTATTTTAAAGTTTATTATCAGCAACATAGCCATTACACGTCTTTTTTTAATTTATAGTATTAGTTTACTTGTGTTGTGATTTACACAAATCTAAGATTTGAATCATTGAACAATGAATTCTCTGGCTTATACTATTTTGGGTCCTATTAAATTCCACAAGTGTCTGTTTTGCAATGTGTGATCAGTGTCAAAATGTATCTGTCTGGAAACAATTTATAGGTGTTAACATTAAAGCCAATCTTTAGGGAATATAATCACTAAAACATGTAGTACTTGCACAAGTGTGATGCAAGTTAGTACAAAGCACATAAAATTATGGATAATCACAAACTTTTTGCTACAGCATTAGAGTAAACTTCGAACATTATGTACTTTTTAGGTTATATGTAGTTGGGTTGAGTGCTCACCTGAAGCAGAATTTTATAAATAAGTTTGTCAAACAACGCAATACGCCAGGTTTCAGTTAGTAGATTCAGGTTGGATTTTTGCTCAAGTAACTTGGTATAAAAAACTCTAGATGGGTAACTTACTAAGTAAATATTACCATAACACTACAATATTCTCTATCTGAGCTCTGAAAACCTATAAACTACCATAGTTGTACACTTAAGTAACTAGCTAAGAATGCCCTAATCGCAATCAAACAATTATTCCTTTTCCACCATCCCAACAAAACGATGGTTTATTGAACTACTGGAGTGTTAAATACTGTATGCTGTTGGATTGACTATCAACAATAGTGTCAGAATGGTCAAAATTAAAGAAATGAATAATTGCTGTTGAAGTGGTGGCATTGAAGTCAGTATTGAATCTTCGTTTTTCACCAAAATTATTCCGAACAATGTCTACAATGTGGACACTGAACTGTGTATATGCTGCTATTGATGAAGATAATGTCACTCGGCAGGTTATGACCTTCTCATTTAAGTTGTGGTCGATGTCCTGCTACAAAGCCCAGTTGTGAATCAATTTGAAGTACCACTTTGAAGGCATTTATATTCATCATGGCAAGCATTTAAATAAGCTATCACCAAGCTTAAATGAAAACTTCAGTACTTCAAACTACTGTATTTGCTCTATTAAAAGCGCAACCCCAATAGAAGGGTATATACAGTACACAATTGGAAGGGGTTACGGTATAGAGCATTTGATCTTGCGAACAAAAACGAATATTCTCGACAGACTTTTTGATTCAAATGACTAGAAATAATGGTTTCAGGCAAACTTGTCACATAATACAAGACTACTTTAGATACAAGGCAAGGCAATCTCGGTTGATAAGCAGTCACAAGTATTCCACACATTTTATGAAATTGTGTCAGCTGTATTATTATACAACTTTTTTTAGTCAATATTACTGCCATACCAACTCAATCTGCAGACATAAAGACAAAATCTATGCTCTTTGATACAGTGACAGACAAAAAGGTGGGGACAATCGTTTCATGAATACATGTACAACTTTTTTATAAAAAAACGGGACAGTTGGATTTTAAATTTACCACAGCAAGAAAGTCTGTGGTGGCAATTGCTATTTCATGTGATGGCGTGTTCGCACATTATGGGGTAGACAGTGTTAAGCATTTTGAGCCAACCACTTGAATATTTGAATTAAAATAAAAGCTGATTGTTTTTACAAATTTTGATAAATATGTTTACATACTGAGGTACAGCTTTCTGTAGTGGGGCTTGGATTTTCACAACTGTAAATGCATTAATTATTCACCGAGTTTTAATTTTGCTATTTTTGCTGATAAGTAAAATACATGAAATCTATGTGAACATGTAAAATAACAATAACCGATTGTTTCCTTGACAAATTTCTATTAAAATAGTGAATATGCTCAAAACACCAAAACGGTGAAATTAAACGTCAGTGAAAAAAAATGGTTTTATAGTATTTACATGAGAAACAATGGCTTCTGAATTGGCAGCTATGAAACCAAGAGATTAAAGAGTGGGGGTCAGATTGATACTGCATTTGATATTTTATAACGTGTAAAAATTTCCATAAATTCAGTTAGAGCAAATCACAGTCCCTCTGTCATGTTGGAGTGAATTTTGATTTAGGAAAGTGCATAATATGAAAATGTATTTCAATACCATTTCTGCATTTTCAAGGTTTAGTTGAAAGTAAAATGACACCTTAGTTGCATGATTTGTATACCGAAACATACCCTGAATAATCAAGCTTCTTGTGGAAAATGGTGCAACATGGTGTTTGGCCAAAATGCATAGTTGTGCTCTCCAGTGATCAAAGCAAAATACTTGTAGTTTTCTCTAAACCAAACCAAACCAACCCAACCAAAATAACAATACAGAACAGTAAATCTATTACGAGATTCAACAGGTTGAATTGCATAAATAATGCTTGCTAATCTTCGAAAAAGTGCCAACTATGAATTTTAAATCTTCTTGACTGGGATCCTGACCATAGATACATAGGTTGATATGACACTGTATTGTTTATAATGATTAATGAATTGGGTGCAAGTACGAACAAAACGTATTACAATATGCCTTAACCTAAAGTAAACTTTAATAATATAGTATAAAAAAAAACTTAAACCTGTAATAAATTATGTACAAATGGGCTCAAAATTAAATTATAGAAAATACTAAAATGTGCAATGTTATCAATATTTGAAAAATTGTTGTTTTTAAAGAGGTGTTTAGATATTATAATCCCATTAAATTTTAGCACTTCATTAATTATCAGGTAACACATGGAAATGTTGCATAACAATCACTTAAAATATGTTAATAACAATTTCAAGAAGTATATACACATGTACAGGTGATCCTTGCATGCTTTGTTGTAACAAAGTAACAAAAAAGAACAATGAACAGTTCACAGCAAGAAATGGCACAATGCAAATAGGTGATTAGTGGACGTGGCCATAAAGTCACCTGGACCGACTCAATTGAGAACTGAAACAGTCTGCTACATTGCAGTGTCAACACGTGCAAGCTTGTCTGTCAAGTTCCAGTGACTGTCGTGTCGTCCCATAAAGGGCATGATATGTAGAGTTTATGGGTTTCACCATTTTAGTCGAAAAATGCATGGCAACATGTAGGAAAATGGCTGCGGTCTCCGCAGACTATCGGTGTTACGCGCACGAACACACACAACTCGTGTTTTGGCGAAAATGTATCAATTCGGTCACGTTTAGCTTAACAATTAGTTCAAAATGTTCTAGAATACGTCATAAGTGTTGTCACATAAAAATAGTGACTGGCGCACTTGCTAAAGGCCTCAAATGTTTCGGGTAAAACGGAGCAATTTCACCGCGTAACACAGTGTACTCACCTCGAAGTTGGCTTTTCAAGATTCATCCCCTGATAGGTCGACGTGGTTGTCATGTCTAACCTTTCGCGCTTTATTCACCAATGGAAAATAAGTGACAGCTAAAACTGGGCTGGGCTTGGGTGGTTTAGACTATAAATGGACTATCTGGGGTAGCAATCAATATATTTAGTGGTGCTCTTTAGACTAATGTCTGTCTCTCAGCGCAAATATGCAACTGAAGCAGCGTTTGAATTTATGCGAACATGACGTCATCGTCTAGAATTAGGCGCGTGCATTTTGAAAGGCGCCTTATCATTGGTTTCTACACAGAATAAATGGGCGTCTTTCAATGAATGTTTTGAGAAGATACTAGCTCCTGTCACGAATTCTAGCTTTATTTATAAAGATATTCCAATATATATATATTATATGGCAAAAAATAAGAGCTATTGTGATTTTTAATGAAAAGATTAATGAACAAGATATGTATTTGTCACATAACCGCCCGAAGTCACGTTACCCAATCATATTTCAGGATACAAATGCTTCTTCGTAGGAATCGGTATCCTCGATTCGTCTAAATTTCTTGAAAAAAACAGCTTAGCAATTTTTGTTGGTTAATAAAATTTGGAATCACGTCCATCTAGGTCTAATTTTGGAAATTATGAATAAAAACAACTTATTCCTGAAGAATTATCCCATAATACTAGTTCGGGGAATCACCCCCACGTGACATTGAGCAAACCAATCAGAAGGGGGTGATCCCGAGGTTCACTTCGCGCCAAAGTGTATTGTGTGTGAATTTGTTTACATCTGTGATTGTTGAGTGTCCCGATATTTTTTGCATGGCGAAGCACTTACGAACAATCCGTAAGCTGACTGAGTAGGTATGAATGAATTAGACATATACTATATCATTTTACCACCACTTTATTATGGGAACTGAACTATAATATATTAAATGCCAGTTTAGTGTGATGTGCTCCATGCAGCACTAACCGGATCGCAGTGGAGTTATTATTACTACTACTACTGCTACAGCGAATTAACCTGGAAATTGACGCAAATGACTACAATTCGTGTTTTCTCGTGGAAACTCCAACATCTTTGAATATTTGTTTTGATATATATTCGACGGAGAGCCTATGTATATTTGTGTACGTTTCCAACCCCCCTCGACTTCTGATGTGTCTGCACATTCTCTAACCGGATATGTTGCAGTTGATTTAGATTTAACGTTTCCGGCGAAACAAGACACGAAGTTTATGTATATGTATTAACCCATTTATTTCTCATCCAAGTATGCTCAAGTGTGTAAGAAAATTATATATGCAAGTAATATTGTATCGCTTGTGTGATGTGACCAGTCGTGACTGAATTTACACCCATCATGATCATATTGTGGTCGCGATTTGTACTTCCGCTTCGCATTTGATGTACATTACTTATGATATAATAATTATTTATTACAAATTATACTCTGAAGAAAAAACCCTTGATGTAAATGATGTATCAGAAATTTTCAATAATTTAATATTGAGTTCGCGGCTCTGTCTTGTCAAGCCAACCAGCTGCAGTGCCTGGCCTCAACACGATCGCGATAGTAAATCGAGGAACGTGCGTGGTTTAGTGTTTCAACTGAGAGCGGGTTCAACAAGAGCTAGTTCTGTATCGGTAATATTTACGTCTGTCTTGCAAATCAGATGGACAGGTTTGGATAGCAATAACAGAAAAATATCAATGGTTAAACGCAAGAAGGGACAACCGTGTGCTGCTTCTGTTAATAGTTCTCAGGATGGGTATGTGTAGACATGAAAAATCGGTTTTCACAAACTCAATTCTGGATTTGTAGCGAGACCGTTTTCATGTCGTTAAAATTTTAACTGAAAACATTGTTTAATGCACTTGCCACTGCAGATGCATAGTTGTATGCTTTTTTGCGGGCAAATTTGTAATTTCAAATATGCTACCTGAATTATTAGTATAAATTCTTTATTGTTGTAAAAATGTTCAGGATTTGTTTTGTATGCGAAATGTTAGTAATTACGGCAGCCATCTTGAAAATATTTTTACGCCGCCTAGAAAACTGCAAAACGTTTTTACTGTAAAGTTGCTTTATTCGATCTATTTCCTGTTGTTTCAGAATGACAACGTCTGTTACGGAACGTGTCACCGAGGAACAGGGAAATAAGAATCTGATCGTTGACGATAGCGTTGAAAATAAGGCACATAAATGCGAGTCGAAAGGAAAACGAGATGGCAGTGAAACAACAAAAGACCAAGGGGAAGAAGAGAGCTTACCACAATACAAACACCCAGTTTTGCGATCGAGTGTTCGACCACATAAACGTTTCAAAAAAGACCAGACTCCCCCACCAATGCAACCAAAACTTCCAGGTCAGTGGTTTATTCAGTTATAATAACACCTTATCGTGGTTTACAAGTTAGCGGGAAAAATGACACATGCCCTGTTACCACAGAAGGGGCGTTGTGCGATTTTCAATAGCTCCACGGGCATACTCCATACATCGAAATTAATATTTAAGTTTTCTTGATTTAGTTTCATTTGTTCTGTAACATGTAAATAACAGAGCAGGACAGCAGCGCCATTAATCAACACCATGGCTGGTATAGTACTAGTGAACAGGCCCTGTACCATTTTTACCTGTTTCATTATTTCCTAAATTACTGTGAATAGGCAACAACATTGGTGTTAGTTTCTTATACTTTGATGTGCATGTGTTTATTTGTTTACAGTTGAAAGTGAGAATACAATCTATCAATTATCAAATGAGCAACTATAGCAGTTTTCAATTGTTTTAACGAAGTTATTGAATTCACACTGCAATAACTTTTGTTATTAATTTGACCAATGTTATTTATTGGTCATTTTGTAGTAATATAAATATTTATTATCGATAATGGCATCATGAATGATTTCGACATTTCACTAGTTTTTGGCAAAGAACCAATAGTACATTCACTACTTTCAAATTACCCACCATAGACTCCAGTCAGTCAAAATGACTATTTTGAACTGTAGGTATTAATTAATCAGCGATTCTGCCAATGACGGAGAGATAGAATCTAGGTCAGGTCTGCCTAAATCAAGATGATGTCTTGTTTTCTTTAGAACATTTTATGGGAACAGTCTTGGATGATTTCATTCACTAATATGGATACTAGTTACATTTGTATGTACATTCAAAATTGTTTGCAAATTTAACATTCAGATTAATATTTCTCAATATTCAGCAAGACATCCAAGAATATTTCAATGTTCGCTAGTTAAAACTATGTTTTGAGTCAGTTATTCAACAAATAATGAGACAAACTTAAGTGGAAATATTCACATTCATAGAAAAACCAGTAAAACAAGAACCAAAAGCTGTGAAGAAGCGCTGGGAAGCATGGACAGTGCAGGACAAAAACTTTTTTTTTGAAGCGTTATTTGAGGTAAGTGTTCTATTTTCAATTACTAACTGGAAATTAGATTAGAAGTCAATCAATAATGGTCTATATTTGTTGGGGAATCTATTTTCCACTCGGAGTAACATTTTATTATCAGAGAGGATTCAATGTTGCATTGATGTCAGCTTGTATGTGTAGGTGGTAGTACACTAACGAAACAGAATTGAAATTATAAAAATATCACAAGCCATCACTACTCACATCAATAGAGGTGGCATTGTGCGTAATTTCATATGGTGAATCTAATGTCTACAGTAGACTGATTTTTGAAGAGATTCGTGAAGTGCTGTGGACAAAATTGTGAATCTAATCTGAAAGGGTATTTAAGGAAATCATGCTCAAGTAATCATACTCAAGTAATAATTATGAATATCGAATACAGTCAGTGCTTTGTTATTCATAGTCTGAAATTGTCAAAAAAGTGTTTTCGATCTCCTAAAGGTAAAATGTGTAGGTTTTTCTCCTTTCTTAGTATCATAAATGTTGAATGTTCACTGATTTTATTATGACATGATTGCCTTTTTTCCCTGCTCGTTATATATAATAATACTTGGGAAATATTTGTTGACACAACAAAGTGCAGCAATGAGGTCTCAAAATAACATCAAAAGAACTTGAGAATAATCAGAATGGTGGTTTACTTTGCTGCCTGCTTGGAGAGACATAAGAATGTTTACATAATGGCGGTTTGTGGTTGATGTCAATATTCTTTCACTTTTTCATAGCAGGAAGTAGTGCACATACAAGAAGTGAGGACTCTGTTATGTGAATGAAAGATCAATAGTGTTAGAGGTTTTTCTATTCGATGATTGCAAAATAAAATTAATGAAATTTTGTGTCTCGTCCTTTAGCTATTGCCATTCGTCATTGAATTTAACAAATCAAATTTAAAATGGCTGACTGTCGGCCATTTTATTTTGAAGAATGCTTTTTTTAATTTCTGATTCAAAATTTTTTCTTTCTTGTTTGTATTGTTTCGTACATTACTTACACTACTGTAGAATACTTTATTTTAGCTAAAATTAATTTTTGCTAAAAGACATTTTGGATGCTTTGAGTGAAGTTTCTTTTCACTGATTTGCAATAAGTTGAATGTATAATATAGGAAAATAATATACTTTACAGTATTTGGAGTGAACATTTATTAATTGGCCGACCAACTTTTTGGGGTTTACTATTCAGTTTGTTTGTTTAGTTTGCAAACACTGTGGTTTTATTTTATGTTTATAAACTAATTTAGGCATGAGTTATAATCATAATTTTTTATTTGCATATAGCATGGCAAAGATTTTGAAGCGATTCAGAAGTATATGGAAGTGCGGCATAAGAAAAGGGGCGATCCACCAAATCTCATTAAAAATAAGGACCAGGTAATGTCTAGCATCAAAAGTTCTTGGTTATTTATTACGTACATGTTGTAAAGCAGTGGATAATGATAGTCACAGTTGGAGTAGGTCCTAATTTTGATATTTGTGACTCTTGTGCAGTGACACAGCATTAAAATTGCCTACATTTGAAGATGCATTGTGTTGGTGTGCAATTGAGTCCTGTTCATATCCCACACTAAATACTTTTTAACTTCACTGACGCAGAGCATATTGATTGTATGCCTGTCATTTATCAGGTGTTTACTCTTTTGAATGCCTTATACCCCCTGAGACATACTAGTGGTTACCAGCTTCTGTATGTTGTACAGTCATCATTCAGTTAGAAACTAAATTATTCAGTGTTACAAAATGTATATTGAAGACATTGTACACTATATCTGATCAATATATATCATGACCATGCGACCCCATTAATTTGCATATCTGGAGCACTATTGTGGATAAAAACACTAACCAGTGCTTAATTAAAAACAATGTATTTAATGATAATGTATGGTCATGTGACTTTGTCAAAAAATGCAGAAATGCCATATATGGAGCAGTATTGCAGATAGACATTAAACCAGTGCTTTATCGAATACATTGGGCTCATGATCAACATATTTAATGACCATATATGGCTGTGTAAACTCATTAAAAATGCATAACTAACATATCAGCTGCAGATACATTCAACCAGTGCTTTCTAATGAACATCCTGAAAGATCTGCTGCATGTGATTTTTGTCAACTTTTTGCATATTTTTTTTTTTGCTAAAAAAATTTCTTAATTGTAGACCTCATGAACCCTATTACCTATCCGTCCTATCAGCTATATTGCTCAGTCAAAATTGTAGGAATATCTGGAAAAAATTAATAATTAAAAGTAGCTTTGATTTGTTATACTCGGTAGGTTACATGAGTTGACTTGGCATTTGAATGGTGAATAGCATGTTACTATTTTCTTAAGACTGATTCACTGACTGACATTTTTTTTATAGGTTCGGCATTTGTATTATCGTACCTGGCATAAAATTTTCAAATATCTAACACCAAATAAAGGTAAGTATATAGAATAAAATGAAATTGAATTATAAAAATCTTAAGGATGCCGTAGAGTTATTTTCGTGAATTTTGCTGCTTTTGTTATTACTTTTGTAAAAGTTATTGGGCTCATAATTTTATCAAAATTAAAACTGAAACACATCTAAAATACCTTTTTTTTAAAAAAATTGAGAAAAACTACTTGCATAACGGATACTGTACACTTTGTTTTTGAGATATAAGTCTGGACGCAAACAATAACATTGACTTATTGCGTAATTTGCGTAATCCCTTCTCGACGGAAACAGTGCACACTGATAACGACGCGGTCATATCAACTCCGGCTCCTGATTATTGATCAATCACAAAAAAGAGGCCCCCAAGGAAAAACTCAAAACGCAGTTCAGAGGAAGCGAAACTTTACCTATAACAGAAATGCATTGCCGACAGTACAATGA